AGCAACATTCCCAGCATAAGAAGATGTGCGATAAAATAGATAAAATCAGAAAGATCCCTGAACTTCATTGCCTCTTGATAAATTTTGCGATTTACATTCTTGTTCAAATTTCCTAGACGTCGTACAGAGGTAATAATAATATGTATATAAAAAAAAGAAAAACTTTCAAACATAATATTTTTTCAGATTAGCTATGTTCCATGACCTGGCAAGTGACCGGCCTTCAGCATCCTTAAGCGAGTACGCTCCTCCAGCATGCACTCGCTCGACCAGGTATGGTCCTTCCCAGTTCGGATCCAGCTTTCCCACGTGCTTGAGTACATCGACACGTTTCCAAACTAGATCGCCAACCTGAAGTCTGCGAATTTTTACTTTCTTGTCGTGAGCCACGCGCATCCTCTGCTTATACGCCTCCACCCTGATTGCTGCCTTCCCTAGCAGTTCCTCGATAATGTCTAAAGCCGCCATCATCAAGTCTTCATTCTGTTCTGTTTTGTATGCGCTCGACCTCTGGGATAGCATCTCGATCTCGATTGGCAGTAATGCCTCCATTCCGTAAGCTAAGCTGAACGGGGTTTCTCCGGTGGTCGACCGAGGGGTCGTGCGATACGCCCACAACACAGAGTTCAACTCATCGACCCATGCTCCCGAGGCCTTCTCCAACTTTGTTTTCAGCCCATTCAATATGATCCGATTGGTTACCTCGACCTGGCCGTTGGCTTGCGGATGAGCTACAGAGGTGAAATGCTGTTCGATTCTCATATCTTCACACCACGTTCGAATCCACTTACCATTGAATTGGGTGCCGTTGTCGGAAATCAACACCTTGGGTACACCAAAACGGCAGGAAATGTTGTTATATAGGAATTTAATTACTTTCTATTCTGTGATCTTCGCCAAGGGCTCGGCCTCCACCCATTTCGTGAAATAATCGACCGCCACTATTAGGAATTTTCTTTGTCCCGTTCCCTGTGGCATTGGCCCTACCAGATCGATGCCCCATTGAGCGAAGGGTATAGGGGCACTCATCGTTGTCATCGCTTCAGCCGGTTGATGGATCAAGGGACCATGTTTCTGGCATTGCAAGCACTTTTTTACCATCGCTTTCGCATCTTCTCTCATTGTCGGCCAAAAATATCCTGCTCTTAGGATCCTTTCGACCAAGGCCCCCGATTTACTGTGATCGCTGCAGCAACCTTCGTGCATCTCCCTCAGCACGTATCGACCTTCCTCTTTGGTAACACAGCGCAAATGTGGTCCTCCAGATGACCGCTTGTAAAGGATACCTCCGTGCTTGAAAAACCTCCTGACTACCTTCATTGTTCCTTCTCTCAACTCTTCCAAGATCGGGGCCCTCCAATCCTCTACCTCTTCGATCTCCGCCACATTCGTCTCGACCACACTTCTCTCCAGATGCAATAGAGTGACGCTCCTGCTCTTACAGTCGACAAAGCTTTGGGCAATCTTCGACAATAAGTCTGCTCGACCATTCTCCCCTCGAGGAATTTGTATTAACTCGAAGAAATCAAACTCTTCCTTTAACCTCTTCATCTCATCCACATATTTCTGCATCCGGTCCTCTTTAACCTCAAACCCTTCTTGAAACTGTCCAACCACCAGCTGAGAATCTGAATGTACTTGCAATTTCAGAGCTCCCCCCGCTTTGTCTAATTTCAGGCCCTTTATAACTGCTTCATATTCAGCCTCGTTATTGGATATCTTGAACCCCACCTTTGCTGCGAATTCTAAATAGTCGCCTTTGGGGGAGACAAGGACGATTCCCAATCCCGCCCCATTTCGAGCCACAGATCCGTCTACGAACAACTGCCAGAGCCCCTCGACCTCTTCTTCGACTTTCGTGCCCTCTTGAATAAAGTCAGCTAACACTTGCGCCTTTAT